ATTTAATGGCCCGTTTAGTGTGATGTCGGCTCGTGAATATCGAGCGATGTCTCGAGCGCGATACGCTTAGTAAACATTTTTCGCGAGCGGATTCCGCGCGCGCGCGAGGGATAGCCTCCTTCGGAGCGAATTTTCCGCGAGCGTGGCTGGAAGGAGCAATGCGAAGGGCCGATTGAACAATACCGTCAGTCAGATCGAATCTCTTCTGTCGTCGTCGCACGGGAATAACGTTCTCGCTCGCCGAGGTTTCACCGATTAATGTTGAAATCCTCGAGTGTGCCGGCGACGAGCCGCGGCTGGTTCAGACCAGTTGAAACTTCAATCGTTTGCGAGCGCGACCTCGCTCGCTCGCAGTTTTCTGCGGGGAGCGGCGTTGGGAGGGGACGACGAGGATCGCGAAAGAGGGGGAGAAAACGCGGTGGACGCGCTTGTCGAAGCATCGGGGTTGACCGCGGGTGTCAAAGCAATTCATTTAAATTAATAGGTCCGGAGGCCGAGCACGCGCGACTTATCAGCCGATTAGCGCGGCGGTTTCACCTCCCTCCCCGCTCGGAGAAGCGTTCTTGTTTGTTGTAAGGCCATTTATCGACCAGCGTCACCGATAAAGCTCGATACTTTTATCAAGCCGAGATTATTCCTCTATCTTTGCCGGAGATACGTCGACGACGGCGACGGCGGCGGCAAGATTTACACGCTCTCTGAATGATTTCATTTGTCTCTCGTGGATCCACGATAATCAACACTCGTTCCTCCTCCTCCTCCTCCTCCTCTTCTCGCTCTCATTTTACTCCAGGTCGACGAAGACAGCAGAATCAATCGAAGATGGTATATGGGATAAGCCGTAGTTGCGTCAGCTAGTCGGCTCGATCCTGAGATACAACATTTCCACAATACGAGATTGATCGATCGCCCGATTATCGTTGACAACAATCCGAGACGGAGGCCGAGAGATCGAGTTTACCGCTCGTTCACTTGTTTAATCTGTCGACACCACGACACGACACGACATATTTTGTCCACGGTTAAAGAGCCGCGCGGGTTCCTCTCAACTTGAACTTCACTTCGTACATGAAACAAACCTCGAGTTGCGTAATCCAAATCTTTATTTTTAAACGGGGATTTCGTTCCCGAAGTTTACTCATCCGTTTCTCTTGGAAATTATTTACCGTTTTCTCTTTCTCTCTCTCTCTCTCTCTCCTCCCCCCATTCGGCTCTTCGTCAAGGGTGCCATATCTCGCCTCTTACCCTTCTACTAGCTCTTCTCCAATTCTCGTCCGAGATAGCGACGAAGCGTCTTCACTTGTACCTCGGCAGTCATTGATCGCCTTCTGTCGATCCTGCGATCCTGTGTCCAGGATCGATCGCGCCGCGCTCCTCACGTCGTCGGCGAGCCGCGCGCGTCCGACGATTGGGCCGCGCGCGCCGCTCCCACCGCCTCCGTCGGCCGCGCTGGCCGTGATCGGGGCGCACCGCTGAACACCACCACACCACCACCGGTGACGGCCGACAGTCGCGCGTTGTCAGCCGCGTCGCGCGGTGTCGAGTCGTCGTGTCGCTTCTCGCGGTTCCATCTATCCATCCACCCGTCGACCTGCTTCTCCTATCTTTCTCTTTCTTCCGCGGAGTTTTGCCGCCGCACGTGGCGGCCTTTGCGCTCACGGATCCGCGTACGTCGTCGACTACGACTACGACGACTATCGATCTACGTGCGGGCGGGCGCGCGAGAGAGATACCCCGGCGACGTTTCGGCCGCGCGTATTCGCGAAGTTACGAAGTTTCCGTCGGCGAAGTTGTACGATTCTTTCATGGCCCCCGTAAGGCGTTAAATTTCGGCCTGGCGCCCCATAGTCCTCGCGTTAGCGGACCAAGTTTATTCCCCCGCTTGCCGCCGCCGCCTCCGCGCGGCGCGCTGTACTTTTCGGCGTGTTGGAGGAGTCGGAGCAGAGGGAAAGAGAGAGAGAGAGAGAGAGAGAGAGAGAGAGAGAGAAAGAGAGAGAGAGAGAGAGAGAGGGAGGGAGGGAGAGAGCGAGAGCGTGAGCGAAGGGTTGTCGACGGGGAAGAGGGAGAACAAGAGAGAGAGAGAGAGAGGTGGAGGCATCGCGGACGAAAGTTTTCGGCGCGGCGCAGGCGGATAAGGCAGCGGCACCGTGGTGGAATATTTTAACATATATCACGACGAAATTGGGACGGGGGTATGGTGCGCGATAGCTGTCTTCTCCCGCACTCCGCCTGCCCTTCTTCGTCGGCTTCGCCTCTTCTTCCGTTTCGCCTTCCTCCCCTCGTTCGCGCGGCAACTTCGCCTCTCGTCGCCGGCTCGTCGTCGTCATCGCCGTCGACCGCGTGCTCTCGCAGTGCTGGTGGAGGATTATAGGGACCGTACACACAGCACGTTACTTCGGCAACACGGAGCGCGCACGATCAGCCGCGCGCGCGTGTGTGTGTGTGTGTGTGTGTGCGCGCGCGCGCTGTGTGTGACACGACGCGAGTGACTCGCTGTGTATCGTCGAATCTGCACGCCAACCGCCTCGACCGCTCGCCAACATGTTTGTCTACCCCGCGGACTATGGCAACTATAAAATGGTAAATTCACCGAGAATATCGGCCCACTCGCCAACTCGATTATTGTATCTCGGCAGCGAGACACGATCGATAGATCCCGTCGAGGCAGTGACACGCACATGATCGTGTCGGTGATATATTAAAAAATATATATATCAAGGAGAGTAGAATTTGAACCGCGATTTCTCCTTGGGAATTCTCCCTCGTCTTCCGGGCCGCGTAGCCTCGGCGAACGTCGTCGTCGGCGAGCGCGTGCGCGTGCGCGATAGACGAGTGAGATCGAAGTACAGCTCGCGGTAACAGCGATCTTTGATAACGCGCTTGATTCCTCGTTTGAATGATTAGACACCGACGCATCATCATCGGGCCAGACGTCGAATTTTTATCGCGCGCTCCGTCGCAACTGCGTCGCCGCTTGGACGCCGCTTTTGCGTCACGTTTTGCGCACGAAGATGATATATCTCGTTATACGACTCGCCGCGATCTCTAATCCCTCCCGGCGATAATGAATTTATCGCCGTACTCGCGCTCCTTCGTTCGCGTCGCTGAGAGCAGCTCGGAAAATTCGAGGTACACCGCCTCCGCGCATCGTCGTGTCCTTCGTCGCGGCTCGCCGATGTGAGGATAGCGAGGATAGGAGAAAGCTGCCTGGCGACTCTTGCAAAATTCGTCGATGCGACTGATGCGTGCCCTTTCTTATGAAACTCGCAATTCCACAGCGAGCTTTGCGCAAAATCTCGCTGTCGACGGTTGGAAAATCGCGCGAAGCTGCGTCGCGAGGAAGATCGCCGCCGCCGTATTCTTCTGCGCGTCTCTATAAAGATTGACGGCGCTAATTGGATCGAGGAGGACGACCTAATCGTAGATTTTTATTGACGCTCGCGTTGCGCGTTACTGTGCGCGCGCGTGCGCGCGTTTAAGGGAGGTTTCTCATTCGCGGGCTCAAAAAATTTTTTTTTTTTTTTCGTGTTCCTACTTGTATGTAGAATACCCCCGTAAAAGGATTTTCTGAAATTCATGGTTTTAACGGAGCTACGAGCTGAAATACGATAGCGCGCACGGCCGTTGTTTAAGTATATCGAAACTTTCAAACGCGTTTTTCTCGAAACTATGTTTTTCGACCTTACGGAACTGATAATTATAAATGTAATAAAGATAGCCACTTTTTTTTTGTTTCGCTTATTCCTGATACTTTTGCGTTACGAATAGGCTAGAATGAAGCTTTTATAACAAAAATTCGATAGTTTATAAGTAAAATTATACAGAAATTTATTCCGCAAAAACGAATCGCTTTTTGGAATTGACGCCATTTTTATCAATTTCATTCAATTAACTTCGTTCTAGTCTATTCCTTAGCGACGCTCATCTAGATAATGAAAATTGCTTGTTCTTTTAATTTCAGATAATATTTAGGAGCTGCATCACTTCCGTAGCAAGAGCGTGTTTTTTTGCTGGATCTGATTTCGGGCGCCATTTTCTATAATAAATACGTATATATATATTTTTTTTTTGTTTTTCATAAAAACTATATTTCTGCAGTACAATAGTTGTATAAGTGTATGCAGACACCCGTATCTTTCTATATATGATAGTTTTCTAAAAAAAATTCACAAAAATTGATCATTTTTTGAGGCCGCGAAGGAGAAACCTTAACGACCTCCGCCGGCCAATCGGCGCGCGCGCGCGCGCGAGCGAGCTACGCTCTACGAGCGCGTCTACGACGTTGAATTAATGACCAGCGTTCTCGCTGTGTGGCGGAGTCGTGCACGACGCGCGCTTGTCGCGGTGTGTCGTAATAGACTCGCGACTGTCGACTCTCGACTCTATCGTCTCTATCGTAAGATCGATGGGGGGACGAGACGCTGCACAATGCAATGCACAAAGGTGTCGCAAGAGCACGCCGGGGATGCAGCTCCGCCGGGTACCGGGGCATTTCGCTCTTCTCCGATGGAAGAGGAGTAGTCGCCTCCTCCTCCTCCTCCTCCTCCTCCTCTTGCCCCCCTCCCCCGGTGGCTCGTCCCGGATAGCGCAGCGTCGCGCGAATGTAGCGCAATTTTCGCGTTACAGCGCGCCGCAACCTGTCGTTGAAACGCCGGCATGCGCGAGAGCCGATGAGAAAGAAGGTTTTACAGCTTGCAAAACGCGGCGTCGCAACTCTTTCTCTCTCGCTCTCGCTCTCTTTGTCTTCGCGAGAATTACACGTATCCAGCGCGCTTCCGGTCGAACGTCGTATCTGTTCGTCGTCGAGACGTATCTCGATTCGCGCCGCTCGATCGCTCGACTCGGCTCGGCTCGGCTCGGCTCGGCTCGGCTCCCCCGAAGAGAGGTGTTCCTCTCACTCTGTATCATCATGTCTTTCGTAAAATTCCTCAGCGTTTGCTCACATTGCCCGCGTCGCGATGTCTCGCTAACGAGTGCGTTTTTCTTCTTTTCTGTTGCAGTATGGTTCGGATGAGTTCGGGCAGGACTCGCCGAGGTACACGTCGCCGAAGAACACGCTGTCTTACACCGAGTCCTATTATATCGGTAAGTGAAACTGAATTTAATTTCTAGGAAGAAAAATTTTGTATCTCCGACAAAACCGTTTAGTTGAGGCATTTTTTAGTAGCAACCAAATATCTTGTTTTATATAACAAGATATTTAGTTGTCTCAACTAAAAACATTTCTCCGCTTTGTTCCCTGGACCAAATGATTTTGTTCTTATACTTCATATATAAAAATTAAGCACTTTAGTTATTTTATCCATAAAAATTACATAATAACGAAATATTATTTTAAATTAAACTAATATAAACTGATAAACTAAAATCCAATGTCCAATTGATACTATTTTGTCTTTCTGTGCACTAACATTTAGATTTTATATATTGAGAAAAAATTATAGTACTTTGAACAAAATTCATATTGTTAACCCTTTGACTGCTATGGGCGCGTATATGCGTCCAGCAAAGACTATCAGTGTCGCCTATGGACGCATATATGCATCCGGCGAAAGCTATCGGTTTAGACTATGGACGCAAATGTGCGCTCGGCGAAGGCTTTGGTAGTTTACTTTGTCCAACACTCCAATATATATATATATAATATATATAATATATATAATATATATAATATATATAATATATATATATATATATAATATATAATATATAATATATAATGGGATAGTTAGGTGTAGAAAGAAAAATAAACGGCCAAGAATACTTAGTATTTCTACAGATGAAGAGGATTTAAATTCAAATTCAAATTCATGTGACATGGAAAAAATATTCAGTCCCCAGCGATCGCATCTGCGGGCCGCATGCCGCTCACGCGAAGCGCCTTCGACTTAGAACAGATCGCAGTCAAAGGGTTAAAGCTTTTTCGTTGCTATAACAAAAGTGTTGCGTTATACGAACAAACCGTAATCAAACAAGATATTTGTTTGCAGGAACTAAACAGTTTTGTCGGGCATATTTTAACCAAATTATTTTGTTGTTGCAACAAAATTTTGGTTCACGCAATAATATATTTTTCCTAGTGTACAGGCCTTATTTTTTTCTCCTCCCTTTCCTCTCTCTCTCCCTCTCTCTCTCTCTCTCTCTCTCTCTCTCTCTCTGTATCGCAGCGATAAGAGACTGCGCGCGCGAGTAAAACAGAATCTTTTTCCTCGAACTAATCGGCCGATTGGAAGGACCGCGAGCGCGAGCGAGTGTGTACCAGCGTGTACTCGCCGCGCAGAGATCGCTTATCGGCAACTAATTCCCTGAAACTAATTAAGAAATAGATTACTAAACTTATATCTGTTAATACAATCGATAATGCCGGCCGCGCGTTACGATGGATGTAATTAAACGAGATAATGGGATGCTCCGCGCAGTTCGATAGATCGATAGATCGTTATCTGGAAATCAGCGCGGCCGTCGATGGGAAGCACGAGCCTATGTACCGCGCTTGTGCGCGGTACACATATGTACCGCGCATATGCATGCGTATGTATATACGTATATATGTATCATTTGGAAATCGCATAACGATCCGAATGGACGATAAAAGGGATTTTACGAGCGCGCTAATATTCAACTGTTTAACGTTCGCTCATAAAATATGCCGCTCTGCCTGTCCCGCCCGTAAAAACAATAACAATCTCGTTATTTGTTCAAGCAACGGCCCGTCGAAGTTCGCCGGCTGAGTATCCTCGCGCGGCGCGCATGTCGGGCGGAAAAAATTTTCCCGTTTTTTCGCGTTTCTCTTTCTCCTTCCTTCTCTCTTCTCCGCCGACGGAAAGCTCCGCCGACGGCGAGCAATTTCGCGAGCGCGCGCGCTCGTTACGGAACCGGCCAAGTCCGCGACGAATCGCGCGCTGTTCCGTCGTCGTAACGACCTTCGTCGTTCCTGCTGTCGTCGCTGCCGTTCTAATAACTCGATCCGCCGTCGGGAAAAAGGGCCGGGCCGCCTCTCTTTCTCCCGGAGACTCGTCGCGATCGCGAGGCTCCTCTCCTCGGCGGTGTAACATCGATTCCGTCGTTCCGAATCGATTCGACCGCGAAATCCGTCGCACTTGTCGCCGTCGCCTCGTCGAAATAATCGGCGTTTCGCGCGAAATCGCTCGGAGCGGCCTATTAACGGCGGGCGCAGCACCGCTCACTTTTATAGGGGCGTAATTGCGGTTTACGGTTCACTTTGTAGATTATAACGGATCTCTGATAAATAATCGTCATCTCGTACGTCGCAGGTGTCGGCAGACACCGTCACGCTCCGTGGCTTCGCAGATATTTGTCGTGGATACTACAGACTTACGCAATGGGAGACCGTAAGACACACCGCGAACTTGCCCGCGTCCTGACCGATGATAAGGAGACACTGATTTCCTCGTCATTTGGTCGTACACCGTCGCGAAAGAAAAATATAGCGCGTTCGTAAAAAGGGAGGGAAAAGACACTCAGCGATGAGTCGACTGGAAATTACAACCCGACTAGAAATTTATCCCATGGTCCTGACCAGGTTAACCTCATTTTTGGGACATCAGGTCCCGATAAGGTAATAGTATCGGATCCTAGTAAGTCGTGCAACGCAGCGTGGATATCAGGACCTTAGTAAGGATTCATAGTCAGGTCCTTATTGAGTTAACTTACGAAATTCTTGTTACGTTTTTTTTTTTTCCAAATTATGGCTTCTGATTACTCGCCACGGCTATATTGGATGATGACATTAGAAATAAAAAAGTGACACGCTGAGAATTCATTCAAGTCACTTCCAAATAAAAAGATATTTGCGTGAAATAATATTTTAGATCGCTTGAGCATACTTGTAAAATGTTTCGGAAAAGAAACATAAAATGATCATAAGGTTATTAAGTATCACAAGGTGACAAGACATAAAGTAGTGTTAAAGTGAAAAGTTGCATGTCACATTAATTTTACAATCTTATTTATTAACTGCTAAAAGAAGGATAGTTTCTATAGCATTTTACAAATATATTCAAGTGATCTGAAGTGTTTTTTCGATGCAAACATCTTTATATTTGGAAATGACACCCAAAAATTGTTTTGTTAAAACTTGATAATGCAAATCGTATTAGGTAGAGTGAATAAGATCCCGACAAGGACCTGATTAACTGAATCATATTATATCATACACTAGGTTGGTACATTAAGGTCCTAATGTGGACCCAATTATTATAACCTTATAAAGGTCTTCCTTATTCATTTGTTGTCGTTAGGACATTATGAGGACTGATTTACTTACTTAGTAGTCCTAAGTAATCCTTTCGTTTGCTCTATTAGGTCCTTATCAATGTTAGGTGAACCTAATCAAAATTTCTAGTCTAGTAGAATGCGATGCTTTCTAATAGAGAGAGAGAGAGAGAGAGAGAGAGAGGGAGAGAGAGAGAGAGAGAGAGAGAGAGAGAGAGAGAGATTCTAGTTAAATGTGAGTCACAATGTGAGTCTGAAGCGGGACCTCCGCATGAACACACATGTTTACACACACACACACACACACACACATACAGTCATCCGGTGATAGATCTGTGAAATCGCCAAGTTTGCACCGCGGGTTATTGTAGATCGGATGAGAAAAGTAGCGGCCTAAGTATGCCCTCGAAATACGTGTTGGCGTTCGCGGCACCCGGTAGCTGACCGGAATGGCTTATAAATGGGAGGCCACGACGAGGGGCGAAAAAGTTTTATCAGACATCGAACACCGGTAGTTCGTAGGAACGCCCGAGTAGTTTGGCTTAGTTTCCGTTTTCTCGTCGAGGAGCGCCCGGCACGGGAATTATATCAAGCAAAAGTATCAAGAAATACGTTCCCGAAGCTTATTGCTGTTGTTTTCAACTGAAATAATGGCCCTGCCGCCGGGTACCGTCTATTGGCCCTTCTACCGGGTGCTCCAACGCCGCGTCGGCCGAGTGAGACGTTAGGAAGCGCGAAATTCCCACTTGGCAGCGGCCCAGCGGCCGTGCGCGGACTTGTGTATCGTGTCACGAAATCGTTCTCGAAATAATTACTGCGGAAAGCAAACGAGACAACACGAGCTATCGGCGGCGGTACTTTCTTCGTCGGCGGCTCTCGCGCACACTCGCGCGTACATCGGACACGCTAGTATTATGTCTCACGCGTTAGGGCGCATTCACACAGAACCTTGGCAGAAAAGCAGAACAGCAGCAGCCAAGAGAGGGACGGAGAGAAAAAAACTCTCACGAGAGAGAGAGAGAGAGAGAGAGAGAGAGAGAGAGAGAGAGACTATCAGCGCCATTTGTGATTGGCTGCTGCCTTTCTGCTTTCTGCTTTTCTGCCCAGCAGGTGTGAGTGCGCCCTTAGCCGAGCGAAATTGTAGCCGCGAACGTTTTCGGCGCGAGGAGCGAGCGGCGGAAAAATGCCTCGAAGTTCGGTTAAACGTCGTCGATGTGCGCGTTTTCACCCGACTAGAATGCTATTATCCGGCCACGTGGCGCGACATTTCCTCTCATCATCGAACGCGCCGCGTGCTCTGGCTGTTTGTTGTTTCTCGCTGCGACGACGACGTGTCGAAAGCGCGTAAGTATGCAGCCACGTTCTCGCGTCTCGTTGCGTTACATCGAGCTGAGAACGGAGATTTGTGGAATCATGGAGCGATTCGGGCGCGGAGGCCGTGCGTGCGAGACACTTCGGGTAAAACAACGACGACAAGGCCCGCTCTCCTCTCGCGCACTCTCTGTACGCGCGGCTGTAATCGCGGCTGCGTCACTGAGATATTTTTGAATCCTCTTCGATGAGATGTGAAGAGGCGAATGTGGCAGAAAGAAAGAAGTATAAAGAGAGAGGGAGAAAGAGAGAGGGGAGGTGGGGGGGGGGAAGAAATACATATAGAAAGAGATCGCGACGTGGATCGCGTCAGCTACCAAGTATGTGCATTTAATCCCGATTGCATCGATTATTTAAATCCCCGATCCTACTCGACCGACAATCGCACGACACATGATCGATCGAATCCATGCGTGTTTCTTGTTGCAGATGGTAACACTGCTGGAACCGGTCCCGGTGACCCATGGACGGGTGCCGGCGGTGGCGTTCAACCCCCCTACAGCGGATACGCACCCCCTCACCTGGCGCAGACGGCATACTCCATGCACATACCCCACGACCCCATGGTAAGTGATTTCTCTCCCGCTCTCTTCTCCCGTCCCGACCTGCCCTCTCTCTCTCTCTCTCTTTCTCTCTATCTCTCTATCTCTCTTTCTCTCTATCTCTCTATCTCTCTCTACCTTTCTACCTTTCTCTCGTTTCCTTCCCGCCGACTCCAGCCTTCCCTATCGCGGCCAAAATCCGAAGAAGCGATCAATCACGGGTGACTCCGCCGCTACTACTGCCGCTGCCTGCGTCGTCGCCGTCGTTGTCGCCGCTGCTTCCTCCGGAGCACGATCGTCGTGAAAACACGTTTGGGACTCGGTAATAGACACGGGGATATTCCTCCTCTCGAATTTTCCTATCGTCGGATCCGCGCGCGAGTCCGACGAGGAGGAGGAAGTCGACGGATTAAAACCCCGGTGCGACCTACTGCCGCCGCGGCGTCACACACTTCTCCTCCGGGAGATCGATGTGGTTCTCTCCCACGGCGTCGTGTTCCCTCTGCCCGATTCGGAAAGTTACGAGGTTCGGCGAAACCTTGAGCACGACATATCGCCATTGTCGGCGGCGTGTCGACGTGAAAATTTGATCGACGATAAAAGATTGATCTGCAGCCGGAAGGAGGGGACGCGCGTTCCTTCCCGGCGTCCGTCCTCGAGAAGACTCTCGGCGGCAATTTCTCGCGAACTTTGTCATATCGGCGATTACCGACTAGCGACTGTAGTAGTAGCAATGATAACGTTAGCCGTAGTATCAGCGGTAGTAGTAGCGGTGGTTGTATCGGTGTTATTATTAGCAGCAGCAGTAGCAGCCGCGACGGCGACGGCGACGGCGACGGCGGCGACGGCGGCGACGGTGGCAGCGCAATACGGCGATAATACGGCAGCTAAATTCAGTTCCGCCGGGTATATTTGTTATCGCGCGAACTTTTGCGCTCGGTCGACGATCTGCGTCGAAGCGGCCGCGGTTGTTTGAAATGCACTCGTCGCGGACGACGAGATTCCGAGACTCGCCGGCGCGCTGCCCGCGCTCGAAAACATCCTTCCACAAATACGCGAACTTTTCGGAGATTTATCGCATCGTTGATGGGTTTCCGCGGAACGTGATAAATCCCCCCCCTGCCGATCGCCCTGCGCGCCGCGGAGTCGCGCTAAATCTCGCCGGGAGAGGGATCGTCGATTTGCCAGCGGCGACGAAGAAGCCAACGTCGCTCCTCGAGCCCCGAGACACGAGAGCCGCGAATCATCGTCGTCGTCGCTGGCGGTGGCTTCTCGCGCTCGCCATTACTCTCGGCGTCAGCGACTTACCGCGCCGGCTTTAATCCTCTTCATCAACCGTGATCCGCGCGACCAGCTGGTCGACTCTTTTCCAGCCGTCTTATTTCGGACCACCCGGTTGACAGTCGCGTGCAAGAAGAGAGGGAGAGAGAGAGAGAGAGAGAGAGAGAGAGAGAGAGAGAGAGAGAGAGAGAGAGAGAGAGAGAGAGAGAGAGAGAGAGAGAGAGACGCGTTCTCTCTTCATCACTCCGCCACGGTTGAGAGACACTGTTGACAGTGCTCCGTGTAACGCTCCGGAGTAACGTCAAATGACTCACTGGCGTCTATATATAGCGCGACCCTCCCGCTACTCCGTGTTTCTAGTCAAGTGCAGCCTTCGTTTGATTTACGCCGTTCATGGTTACCACGAAATCCGCCTCTTCGTGGCACCTCGCGCTCGTCGTCGTCGTCGTCGTCGTCTCTCTCTCTCTCCCTCTCTCTCTCTCTCTCTATTTCTCTCTCTCTCTCTCTCTCTGTCTGTCTGTCTGTCTGTCTCTGTCTCTCTGTCTCTCTCTCTCTGTCGCGGGGGGCGGCCTCTTTCTCTTTGAGACAACGAGAGGAGGCTTCTGTTCGCGGCGTGTGACGTTCGCGATTGCGAATGTTCGACGGAGCTTCGCTAATAGCTCCGCGCACGGCGAGCCGTGAAGCTTCGTCTCCCGACGACTTTTGCTCCCTTCTTCTCGCTTCTTTCCCGGCTAGCAGCAAGCTAACCTCCAGCTCTTGGAGTCTCGCGAAGACGCGCGGAACGTTACCGGTCTTCGGATCAGCGCGAGATCACGCTCGAGGATTGCGAACAGCCGAGCCGAGCGATATCCCGAAGACCGTTTTATTATCCCGCCCGGCGGGGAGGACTCGATCCTCTGATCCACGCGCGATACGGCGAGAAGCGCCGTAAAGACGTCGCGCGCGCGCGCGCGACTGCCTGGGAAGTACAGATTCGAGCGTCAGGAGCTAACATTTCTTTCGGTAGCGAGGGTTAAACATTTACGATCAGCCCGCGGTTTAATGGCCCGTCTTCCGAGAAGCCGCGTCCGCGTCCGCGTCCGCGTCCATCGGCGAGTCCCGCGGGAGGAGCCGCGACGGGTTTTCGTCCGTACATCCGTCGACACGTCTCGAAACGATCACGCCGCGCCGCTGCCCGATTCCGTTCGCTCGAGAGGGACGTCGATCAAGCGCGCGAGACGTTTCCCAGCCGCGTCGTCGCGACTCGCGCGATCCTTCTTCTCTCTCCCTCCGCACCCGTCGCGCCGCGCGTTAGGTCCGAGCACTTTAATTTGTTGATAAATACAGTGTAAGGCCCGCACAGTCGCGCGCGGCGGTGCTTAAAATTAGACTTTTACGAGCGATCTCAGTAGGTGCGAGAGAGCGGCTATCCCGCCGGGCGTATCCGATATCAAAGGTGCCTCCGAGTGATCCATTATGACTGGAGAGAGAGAGAGAGAGAGAGAGAGAGAGAGAGAGAGAGAGAGAGAGAGAGAGAGAGAGAGAGAAAGAGAGGAACGCGTTTAAGAAATCGTACAAATCGAGCCGGGTCGAGTCGCGCGCGACTACTCGAAATCACTCCGGGCTTGTAACGGGAACCTTTATCGCTTGTAGCTACAGCGAGATAAATCAATCCTCGTTTCGCGTCCGTTCTGCCCCTCCTCCGTCCCCCTCCCTCAGAATACACATCTCTCGGGGAAGCAGCGCGAGGAGGAGTCCCTTACAAAATTCCCTCAACGACTCCGGCCGACGTAGATAAAGACTGAGACGTACGACCGTCGCGTCGAATAAATCGCTAACGTTGACAATCGTCGTCGTCGTCGTCGTCGTCGTCGTCGTCGTCGTCACCGTGCTCCGCGGAGCCGTCGCCCGAAGGGTGGAGAGGGGGGGGAGTATCTCGTCTCTGTCGACATTCCTCCGAACCTTCCGAGTCGCCGAGACGAGTGTAAAAGTCCCGTCAATTCAGAACCTGTGAAGATAAGCAGCGAGATATCACCGAGTGACCGTCCGCACAGCCGAAGATGTTAGCGCGCTTGTTCACGGATTCGTCCGGGACGGGCGATTAATTCCACGGCTGTAGGTCTGTGCCTTCTAGGGTTGCCAAGTCCAAAAAAGTTAAAATTACATTTCTTCTTTGGTAACAAACCCAAAGCGGACTAAACCGGGCAGAAATAATCATCATAACGTTGCGTTAAATACAAAATATGACAAGAATTTGTGTGCAATATTAACTTGCAAACAATTTTATAAACAAGATTTGACTGAATGAAATAATAAACTATTACTTTTTTAATATATATATGGAACGATGGGTCGGCAGATATCATCTACTAGATGGCTTTTCGTGACGCCCGGTCGTTTGTAGGCGCTTGAAACGGAGAAACGTCGCTAAGAAATCTGAACTCTCATTCCATTGATTGGATAAAGCGTAAAAACCGGACGTCCGGTTTGACTTATTAACCGGACACTAGACAAGACTTCTGAAAACCTGACAGTCCAGGTCAAAACCTGGCAGTCGGCAACCCTAGGAAGTCCCTTCCCCTCGAGCCTCTATCGAGTTCTCCCGAGAGCCCATGAGATTCCTTCAGCGCCGGGATCCACGAGAAGACCAACAAACAAACTCGGGCTCGTCGAGGCGGCGTCGAAGAAGACGCGACGCGCCTTCGCTCTTCGCTCCTCGCGACTTTGTTCGAGACGCTGAAGATTTCCCGAACTTCCTACGAGTCCAGTTCCCGAGAAAAGAATCCCTTGAATGATTAAGAGAGAGAAAGAGAGAGGGAGGAAAGAAGACGAGAGAATCCACAGATCCTCTCTCTCTCTCTCTCTCTCTCTCTCTCTCTCTCTCTCTCTCTCTCTCGGACATACCCGGGCTTATTTTGCCGAGACGAACCGCAAGCTCGCGGCCGCACAGGACAGAAGACGCGCGTGTGCGTGTTGGTGTCGCACGACCTTGACCAAGACGCGCTCACCACCGGAGCGGAAGACCACCACGTGGAACACTTGCGCTTGGGGTTTCAGGCATACTCGGCGATGTCGCCGAACGGGGAATCGACGGCGCCGATCTTGGGCTCGGCGGTGACCAGTGCGGCTTCCCTGCCGCCGATGTCAACATTCCGGGGTAGTGCCGCGGTCGCGGCGAACAGCGGCACGGGGGCACCGTCGCCGGCATCGTTGCAATATAGCCATAGTCCTGGTGCACCGACGACCGCGCCCTCCGCGTCCAACGCTGCGCCCACGACGAACCAGCAAACCACCCCCGGCGACACCCTCGGCAAGACCCTCGCATCTGTAAGCACCCGAGTATGTATCGACGTCGACCTCGTCGTCGTCGTCTAAGTGTCTCGTAGATTCCCGTCGCGTTTTCGCGCTTACCACGCGCCGGCAAAGTTCAATTTCGTAAGGAGCGTGAGATGTCGATATACTCACGAAGATTCCGCAGAGACGCAAATTTCGGCCGAGTACTCGATCGATCGAGTCGATCGAAGTCGGAAGTCGCGGATGCCGCGGCGTGTAATTTGTAAAAAAAGAAAATAATCGCTCGAAAGAGGATCTACGAAGAGGACGGCGCAATGTCGCGAAGCTCAAAGAAGGATCCCTGGGACATATCGCGTAAAATTAGTTGGGTAGCAAAGGGTGGGGAGGGGGGATGACACACTTGGGTGTCGACAGCTACGGATTCGCGCATCGCGTCACACGATCACGTTACTAGCGCGACATTTTTCGCAGATCTATCCCACGGACCAATCAGTATCCAGTTATAGCAGTAATCCATCTACGCCCGTCAGTTCGCCGCCACCTTTAACCGGCTCGGCACCAGGTTGGGCACCTGGAGCCGCGCCAGTGTCTCCGCATTTCACGGCGGACCCCAACCGTGGTATTCACATGGTACGTATCGACGACGCTACTGCGAATTCGGACTAATTCCCGAGATTTTTTTTTTTTTTTTTTTTTTTCTTAATTTTCTCCCTCGTTCTTCTACGGGGCCGGCATAAGAGCGCGCAAGCAAAGCGGTCGGGATCCTTTCGACGCTTCCCTTCGACGTCCGCGATATAACCAAGTGATCCAATCCAACGAGCCACACGATCGCGCCCTGTCGCGTCGGCTTCGTCGAAAGGTTCCCCGGCCGCGTGCGTATTCACGCTGCGTCGTTTTGGCCGCTTCAGAGACACACATGCACATGACATACACACACACATACACACACGCACACGCACACATATCTCATTTTTGCCTCACTTTTTTGCTCCGACATACCGCAGTCTCACGTCTCTCCGATGATTATGTATCGCTGTGTGTGTGTGTGTGTGTGTGTGCGTGCGTGTGTGCGTGTGTGTGTGCGCGCGTGTGTGTGTGTGTGTGTGCGTGCGTGCGCGCGCGCTAACGCGACACGCCGCCCGCCCACGGTTGTTCATCGGTAAGACACGCACAATTTTTTTTTCTTTTCCTTGAGAGGGGAGGATCGAACGGGAGGAGAAGTCGGTCCACGTATAAGCGAAAGCTTGCGGAAAAACAAGGCGGGAAAGAGTGTCGGGAACTTTTGCACTCGTTTCGAGTCGAAGCTTCGTCCTTTGCGCGCGTAATCGCACAGCGTAAAGATCGCACGAAAATAGTACGATCGAATTGCACCGCGCGGTTCTTTTCTTTTTTTTTTTTTCCTCTCTGCCATCGTCATCGCCATCGTTTGTGCCGTTCTCACGCGAGCGCGAGCATTTGTTCGTCCTCCCCTCGCCCGTAAGTTAACGAGTTTATCACGTCACCCGTTCGTTTTACACTTTTTTTTTCTCTCATTCCGCCCTGTTTGTTGTGAACGTTGTGTTGACTTGGTTGTTCTCTCTTTTTTTTTTTGGTTTTGTTGTTGCGTTGGTGTTGTGTGTGAAGCCGGCGCCTGAACAGCAGAGGTTAGACGATGCCATCGGCTTCCTTCGCGACCATGCCGAGGTGAGGATTGCCGAATTTCAGTTTTTTTCCCCTCTCTCCCTCTTCATTCGCTCATCTTTTCTCCGTCGTCTCCGCTGAATTCTTCTGCGTTGAAATTCTTTACCTCCCCGTTTCTTTCTTTCTTTCTTTCTCTCTTTTTTTTTTCTTTTTTTTTTTTTTGATACTTATACGCATGTCGTCTCTACATGCCGAGGCCACCATGTAACAGTTACGCAAGAACACGTTCACTGCACTTTTCGCTAATTTGCGCTTTCGGTTAATCGATGATTATATATTGTGATGAACAGTTCTCATTGTACACAATTTATAATCACGGCTTGAATTTCCATTAACACAATCGTCCTCCGACGATCGGCGGCCGGCATTGCGAGTCGGGTGAATTTGGATCTTTCAAATTTCTTATACTTTCCTACGCTCTCGCCGAGCTGTCTCTCCCCTTCTTCAGACTCTTTTTCCGACCGGCGGCGGAACTAACAGTCTTGCATCTTTTTTTTTTTTCTATCGTGCAACACTGAGACAAGTGTAACGAACATTGTTGATAACGTGAAACACCAGGATGTCTCGCGACCTCGACTTTTCCGAGGAGACTCTTCCGACGTAGATTCTCCATGCTCGACAGCTCAATGAATACGAACAATTGCAAATCTCTCTCTTGTCGCGATACCTCTCTTGAGTAGCAATGTATATACTTGACGAGTCCGAGCGATCGACGTGCTGCAACACCACAGGCGTGTAATCGAGTCGAATGTCTCGGTATTCTGTTGGTACAGGGAACCCGAATGGAGGAACGGCTGGACGACGCCATAAACGTCCTAAGGAACCACGCGGAGAGTCAACTGGGCCTTCACCTCGGCCCGGTGGGCCCGCATGGCGCGATATACTCGCACACCTCACCACCGCAGTTGGATCATCTGGTAAGGATCCTCGTCTCTCGAGCAGACCGACCAGAGGGGCACGATATAACGCACGGAAGAAACGACTCCGGTGGTGAAATTGAATTTTCCGTCGCCCGGGGCGAGACCGGACGCAAACTCGGTCGATCGGTTATCTCAAGCGAGTTTTTAACGCGCTTGATTTCGTGCATGTCGAGACGAACGTTTCCGCTCTCGCGGAGGCGTCGTTTCTCACCACCACCACCACCACCACCACCACCACCACCGAGTTCCCGTCCGCTTCTCATCCGGGCGGTTGCACGGATCTTTTCTCCCGTATAGTAGTGTCTCTCGCCCTCTTTCTCTCGCGAGAACGTTTCTCAAGCAACGTGTACACCTTTAATCGTATCGTGTGCTTTCAGACGAGTCCACACTCTGCGGTAACGGTAACACAACCTCAGGGTTCCTACCCCGGTCTCACGCCCACGCCCGACACGGACGGATCCATCAAGATCGAGAGGTTACCTGTCACGAATGCCAGTAAGTTGACCTCGAAGTGGCTTCAGCCGGAATGCGCGACTCGTAACTTGCGACATGAAAGAAAGAAGCCAGCTTACCCGCGAGATCCGTCGATCGAATTCGACGGCGAACCCTCACGTTTTCTCGTCTTCAGTCTTTAAAATTGCCGTTAACAGTAGAGTATATCAACGACCGCGACTATTCTTTCCTCGCTAGGTCGCATCATCGAGCGACGAGATCACTTTTCCACCAAGAGTACCGCGAAGGAGAAGAGAAAAAAGAAGGAATGGGCTCCCAGGTGTTCCGCAACGGACTCGCGCGACCGAATAAGGAAATATTAGATAAATCACGCGGGATTTCTCTCTTTCTCTCTCTCTCTCTCTCTCTCTCTCTCTCTCTCTCTCTCTCTCTCTCTCTCTCTCTCTCTCTCTCTCTCTCTCTCTCTCTCTCTCTCTCTCTCTCTCTCTTTCTCTCCCCCGCTGTCCGGCGGTCGCGGCCGTGCTTGCATTATTCCCGCGCGTAGTACGTTCGGTTATCTCGCTCTCTTTGTTTCTCTCTCTCTCTCTCTCTCTCTCTCTCTCTCTCTCTCTCTCTTTCTCTGCCTCGCTGCGTCTGTCTCGGGACAGACTCTCGCCATTAGAGTCATTATGCCCCGAGGGGGGTTGCATCTGGAATCCTCTCGGCCGCGAATTAAGAGAGACTCGTTAAGCCGTTAGCCGAGCAACGGGACGCGCAGGTCGTCGTCCTTGCGGATTCGGAAGTCGCGATGATAAACGAAGGTTCGTCAAGTACTTCTGCGGAGATAACGCGCATCGAAAGTTCGTCGGCCAGCAGATTGTTGCTCGAACGAGGGCAGGCTGGACTTTTGCGAAGCGCGTGTTAAAATTCACGCACGCGTTTGCCCAACTCTCGGCTCTGAGGCTCTCTCGGCGCGGCGAGATTGGGCGCCGAGCGCTCGCGAAACGCCGGTGAATTGTCGTCGGATGAAGGACCGAGAGGGAGGGAAGGGGGAGAGGGGGGGGGAGAGAGAGAGAGAGAGAGAGACAACGTTTAAGGAGAGATCGTTGAATCAGGGTTGAGAGTAAAGCGCGCTTCCTGCTCCTAATTGGATGCTTTTCACGGTTTCGTGACTAAGCCTCCTGTCCAAAGCTCGCGGATAATCGAAGATCGTGATCGCCGTCTTCGGCGCGAAGGTCGGTCGCGTTTGTTCCTTCTCTCTCCCGCGCGCGCACTCTCCGTTTCCGGGTAAGTACGACGTTATTTCCTCCACCCGTGCGTCAGATAATACACAACGAGTAAGAAGTTTTACCACCGCCACACCGCGACGTCTCCGTAATTTTCTCCGACGTACGTCCCGTTCGAGACGCATCGATCATCACGTGGAGGAAGAAATGATCTTTTCGCGCGGACACCCTTCGCGAAGCTACGCTACGCTTCGCGAAGGGTGTCTCACCTCGCTGCGCTTTTTCTTTTCGTCTCGCAAGTTACATGTAACAACGCGAGGCTTGTGGAGACCTAAAGCGGCAGTATTAATAATGAACAGAATACATCTCTTTAGAGAAGAGAAAAGACCCACCCGACAGCAGCGGCGGCGAGACGAAGCCGTCGAGCAGCGAGCTCGCGGCTGCTGGTGTGATCGGGGCGGCCACGGTGAACTCGACGTCGCAAGGCAAAGGCACCAAGAGATCGCGCAGATAGTAAGTATCTGGAGAACCTCATCGTGTGTACCGAGCTGAATAGAGTCCGAGTCTCTCTCGCGAGTCGGAATTGCTGTCTTTTTTTCATTTTGCCGCGTCACACACTGCGATAGAAGATGAGAACCCGTCGCGAGTCCGAGTACGCGTGCGTCCAAGTGTCTGTTTGTCCATCTGTCCGCTCGCGCATCCGTCTGTCCGTTCGTTCAGTCCGTCAGTCAGTCCGTCAATCAGTCACTTGATATCTCGAGGCGTGAGACGTTCGTTACATGGAATTTCTCGGGATCCATTCGGGAATAATATCGTAGCTCCCCGTGCGTATCTCCCTTTCGCGGCCAGCCCGAAATGCCTCTCCACTCTCCCCGAAACGTCGAAACTTCACTTCTGTTACTAACTTGCTTTGTCTTTGAACAACCGTTGTTCGAGCGCCGACGAAGACTGCGACGATCCCGGCACCAAAGCGGTGCGCGAGAAAGAACGTCGCCAGGCCAACAACGTGCGTGAAAGGTTAGTGAACACACGCAGTACGCACCTCGTTGCATCTTGATACAAACACCTCCCTGTGATCCCCGTTCCCACATGTTTTATCCCGGATATCCTACGATATGTACATGTATCGTGTCGCGTGTCGCTTAAGCGTCAGTTTCTTAAGCGGCACGTGCGTATCACCGAATGCGACGTATTATATGAAACCCACCACTCTCTGCACCACCATTTTCCTCTCCGGGGAAAGTCTTTTTTTTTCCTATCTACTTAACCGTATGCATGCCTTAACGAGATGCTGTTTCTGTGACGAGCGATAAGGACGATCGCGAGGACACATCGATACCGATCTTGCCAATCGCCGAAACGTCTCGCGGAAACATGCGGCATGCTTACGCCTTTGTTACACACCGAGTACGTATGTACATTGTATTCCGCCGATCCGATCCGATCCCACAGCCTCCTCCTCCTCCTCTTCCCTCTCTTCCTCCTCCCTTCCTCCTCTCTCGAGTCCGTCGTACCGTAAGGCCCGTATTCAGGCGTGAAAATTAAAATGTTTCTGGTTAAGGGGACAGAAATGAGACAAGGCAATAGACGAATTGTTTTGATACAGCTCTCGTGCGTACCTACAAATCAGTCTCATTTTAATTCAGCTGCGATTCGGTCCCTTAGGCATGCCATTTTTCTTCATTTTGTTTTATTTTATTTGTTTCCTAGAGCGTATATATATATATATATATATACACACTCTGCACCTTCACTCTGCATCGTTGAACGTTTTTGCATCGAACTGCTCAGTTGTATAGATCCTCCTTGTTATTTTCCCTCCCGATTGCAGTTCTTTTTTTCTCTTGTCACCACCTGCGTTCGTTTGAAAAGTCGAGGGACGTGTCGTGCTGTTCTTAATTCGAGTCTTCGGTCACTCTGTCCGAACTGACTTGTGTTGGCCGGTGCGTGTGTCTTGGCTGTTTGAATTATTAAACGCCTCCTCATCTCATCGTGATGTTCCTAAAGTTGATATAATAAAAAATATCTTCTCGAACGCACAATTAGATATACTTTGACGTTAATCGTACATATATATATATATATTTTTTTTTATTTTTGTGCTCTCTTTTTTTTTTTATCTCATTTATTTCGCCGTCACATCGCTTGAAGAGAGAAAAAACGTTTGCGATTCCCTTTACTGCGCCGAACTCTGACGTTTACAGATGTCATTTGCATTCTGAATTTTCTAGGTGACACAACATCAAAATAGAAGATCTGCATTTTTAGATCCACCATCACACAACGCGCACATACATGTACATAGGCGCGCGCACATACACACACATACGCACACATATATATACTCGCAACTGTCCCTTGGCGCGATGGTTCGCGTCATCGATTGTTTGTTCTGTGCAAAGAATACGGGCCTACGAATTTGTGACCTGTTGACTTATCCACAATTTCGAAATTACGAGACCACCTGCGTGTGTTCATTAGCTATCGCTGTATATTGCGGAAAAGAGACAAAAAAAGAAACATACGAAATTTGCTCGAGCATCGATCAGTAGGTTGGTTGGTTGGTCCGTCGGTCTAGCGGGTCAAAAGTACTTCACTCTGACGATCTCTTCGCGACTGCGTGTCGCGCGCGTTTCACCACGGTAATTCGATCTCGCCGGTTAAGTCGCTGATAAACGAACAATAGGCTAACCTAAGTTGCACCAGGTGATTAATCGCGTATTGTTATTGCGCAACTGTTGTTCGAGCGCCGAGGACGAAGATGATGATCCCGACATGAAGGCACAAAGGGAGAAAGAAAGGCGGCAGGCTAATAACGCTAGGGAGAGGTAAGCTCAATGAGTTTTACGCAGCCGGAGACACACGTGAATCGGGAATCCTTTTCCTCCCCGTCGCAATTGATCGCATTGCGAGTTTTGCGAGTTTGAGATCATACTTCCAGTCGGTGGTAATAAAACAGCGGCCCGTATTCTATGTATATGTGACATAACAATGTATCATTGATACCGAAAGTGCCTTGCCCGATGACGACGAGAGAGATCAAAATATATATATATATATATATATACATACATATATATATATATATATATATATATAGCACGCTATTCGTTCTCTCTCTTTCTCTCTCTCTCTCTCTCTCTCTCTCTCTTTCTCACTATATATATTACTTTGAGAAGTTGGCATGTTCTGATACGCACACGGGACGAGAAATTTCCTCCTGTCGCATGCTCGTGTTGTATAATTGGACTCTTATCGAGTTCTAGGGAGTTGGTTAAAAAAATGCACGATGTCGCAACGCAATTATGTTTCACACGACTCTTTTGCACTGTTACCGCACTAACTTTTACCGTAATGATTATACGAGATGAATGTCTCTCGCAAAACTTAATGTACAATAAACGAGAGTGTGTATGTATGTCTGTGCGTACATATTTGTATATATATATATATATATATTGAGAAAGCAGCTCATATCGCTGTTTATAAAAAATATTACAAACATAGTACATGATTAAAAACATTACATTCTGTGGTGTTTGAAGTTTGAGATTTAAGGAGCATACTCGATTGTGTGAACATTGCTTGGACAAAATGACCGAAACTCGACCGAGACATTCTCAGACTTTATCTCTCATCGTAGGATACGCATCCGGGACATCAATGAGGCCCTGAAGGAGCTAGGAAGAATGTGCATGACACATCTGAAGACCGACAAACCTCAAACGAAACTCGGAATTCTCAATATGGCTGTCGAAGTTATAATGACACTCGAGCAGCAAGTCAGAGGTGCGTATCGATTCCTGTGGTCGATTCGCACATTCGTGCGATCGGCGGTAGCGTTAATCCTCGCGTTGTCAACAGACACAACGGTATCTTTATTGTGTCCTTTTTGTGCAGAGCGAAACCTCAATCCGAAGGCTGCGTGCTTAAAAAGAAGAGAGGAGGAAAAGGCCGAGGATGGTCCCAAGTTACCAGGCCATCTTGCGGCGCACATAGCACATCCGCATTCTCATGCTCATGCACACTCTCAGGCGCCCTTCCCCGCCTTGCCCGTAAGATCTCATGAATAGTAAATTCGTAAGGCGAACGCCTCATTTATTTATCCATATTACCACGTGATGAGGAGAAACGTCTTTCATGGAGATCGTTCTTTATGCTTTTCCTTTTTTCAGGGTCCGCAGCCTTCCCTTCAGCACAATCCACCGCAACCGCAGTAGCAGCGGCTCAGTGGCGGTGTCATTCTGTGTTAAGGGGTAGATACGTCTTAAAATCGACAATTTTGCCGATATGACTTGCATATCCATATGGAAGTATTTTCTGCTCGCGCGAGTCGCGGGGGACGCGCAGAAAATTGTGGATATTACACGTGATGCGTCGCATGCATTGGTAGACGATAAGGCGGTGGAGCAAGAGGAAGAAAGGAGGTGGAGGAGAAAGAAGAGAAGAGGGGTGGGAGGAAGAAGAAAATAAGAAATCCGTTTAGCCGGTCCTGTTTTACATGTATCGTTTACTACTTAGTAGTGTTTGTATATTAGTATTTTATATGATTCTATTTAAAGCCTTGGAAGTTATCCTTTGAAATCACGACCTATCAATCAGTGATTGAGAAAAAAGTCTTAAAGTATTACAGTAAAGAGCGGCACCGATAATACCCATAACTTTTTGCAGCAGCTCTTTTACGCGCGTTAAAACAAGAAGGGAAGAGAGAGAGAGAGAGAGAGAGGGAGAGAGAGAGAGAGAGAGAGAGAGAGAGAGAGAGAGAGAGAGAGAAGGAGAGAAAGAAAGAAGAGATTTCATATGCCCATATGTAAGCATAGCGCGCGCATGTATAGTTTTAAGAGGCATCTACCCCACCCCCACGAGGCGGCTTCAAATTATTTTTATAAATAGCGAGAAAAGGAAAAAGAAACAAAGGAATATGGTTCCTCTCTTTCGAGATATATAATGTGTAGTACGATCGAGGTTTTATTAACGGTCGAACTTCGCTACTGACTCATGTTAAATTGCCCACTTCTGTGTATACACTATTAACACGTTGCGTTATAGCGCGCAATAGCTAGGAGGAGAACTACTCGTGTTGGCGGGAAAACAGAGCCCACACATACACATACATGTACCACACACGCGCATACACACACACACACACACATGCGCGCGCGCGCGCAAACACACACACACACACACACACACACACGCCGACTAAAGATGAAGATAAAGGCAGCATATTTCTGGAAACCGCGGTCTAAAGGGAAATATTCCTATCCAGGTAAAGCTCTTTTCCATCATTGAAATTGACATTCGCGCATTGTGATACTTTGTTTACGCGGTCTCCACGATTCCCGTGAATTCAGCTCATTGTCGCACTGTAAACCGCGAGGTACCCGCAAGATTTTGCAAGTTCCTTCGCAGGTTCTCCTCTCCGACAGAGAGCGCGCGTGGTGCGTCGCCAATGTATATAAACCGTACGAACTGTGCCGCCTTTATGTTGATCATTAGATACTGAAGATACTGTATATAGAGATTATCTTTTACGAGCGTCCTAGAGTGTGAATCGAAGATGCTAGCGGTTCGTTCACGCTCGCGAGAAAGCACACAGAGCAACAACCCACCGTCATCTACCACTTCAGAAACTGGCTGTCACGGTGTCGTGAGAAAGTCATAAAGTTTTCCGGTGCTTGCAGCTTCTTTCTCGGCGTATGCAACTCAGTTTTAGGGAAAAAAGGGCGGAGAGAACGAATTTCTCGATTGCGCGTTCACGATTCATTTCGACTCGGCAAATTCGTTCTCTTCGAGTATCAAAGAAAAAGATAGACACTTTGATTGTAAATATTGCTCGACGCGATAAAGAAGCTACGATTTTCAAGTAATATAGCAAGAGTTTCTTGCGACATCGCGCTATCGAAAATACTCTCCAACTATTGAAATTTCTCTCTTACATTATCACGAAAGAAACCAACGGTAATATATAATCGCGGAGATTATCCTACTTGACGAAACTATCGGCATATATTTATTTCGCTACGCTCAAATATTTTATCGCTAAAATTTGATTGTGCAGACTGACCTGAAATTATTGTACATAATTTTAACAACGTATTCTGAGGCTTAATCAACACTTTTACCTAGAGCCTATTTCAACAGGTTTATTTGTTAGCGATGACTCACAGATGGAATATTAATTGAAGAAAATTCTGATATCAAGACCTACTACCGAGCCATACCGATGCTTTATGAATTAGAAACCAAATATTTTTCTATTCTTAATTCTTAGGTGGAGTACTTTTGAACAGTGTTTTAACCAAGAGGTTAGTCAATCTTTCCAAATTATTAAAAAGATATACTATGGTAATAATTAACAAATTGTAATAAATAATCCTTTTAAAAATTTTCCTATTAGGATTTTTGGCTTCAATTAAACCTCAGGATGCACTATTAAGGCATTTGTATAATGGTTTTGGGGCACCCTGTACATATACATATACATGTATATGTATATTTAAAGTGCCATTTAGAACATTTTCGATCTTAATATCGGGGTGAAACGAGAAATACAGCCCTAGTTTACATTAAGCATAACTTATACGTGCTCGTTAGTATCCGTAAATCGTTTTATATCGGTGAAGCTATCTGAATTGTTTTCTTTCACATGTAAAATAGCGTGAACGATCCGTGCCCAAAATCGGAAGGAAAACCCGTACACTTATATAAGAGATAATATTTAAAGATTTGTTTTATATTATGTCGGATGAACGATTCTTATATAGATTCTTAGGACGTTGACATTACATTTTATTTTTAATTATCGGTCGAATGACTTTTAATTTAAGAGCGATCAACGAATATTAATTTAAGACGTATTTAGGACACCCCTTTGAATTATATATTAATCATTTTTACTAATTACATCTCTCGTCGTCCATGCCTTCGGCACGGAGAGGCACAAAGTGTAACTCCGAAATGTGGATTATCTCGAATATTGTTGCGGCATTGAGGAAAGTATATATACATACGATGTGTATATATATATACATATATATATATATGCACATACATATTGGGCAGTAAATCTGTGCGGCTGCGGAGAAAAGTGCACGTAGGATACAGAAGAAGAAAAAAAGAGAAAAGAAAATTATCCAAATAATCCCGTCGGCTTTGCTATCACGCCGACGTCTGTAGAGATGGTCGTGTGTAATTGTACGTGTACGTTGCAATATGTTGTCGACGAGAATTGACAAGCATTTATATGTGCCAAAACATGAGCACGTGATGAAAAAGAGAAAAGTAATTAACAATGTCCGGCGTGAGGTAGATTAAAGAATCTTTAATTGACGTGTGGGACATACATGATATCGATACAATTATTAAACGCACAAAACGCGTCTTTACAAACGCTTCACGTAGCGGTGTATTTTTCGTTTTGTTTTCTCTTTTTTCTTTATTTCTGATCTTTCTCTTGATGCCGCACCGTTAGAAGAAAGACGGTCTTTTCGATGACACCGATCACCGATGGTTTTGGTACATCATCGAATCACTCTGGACCCTCTTGAATCTTTTCGACACGCCCTTCTTCCTGCGTTTTGTCCCTGCTACCTGTTATACGATCGAGATTTCTGTACTTATGTGTACGGTAATGTGCTAGAGAGATGAAACGGAACGAAAGGAGCTTAAGCGTCGAAACGAACGGAAGCACACACACCCACACATACACATACACGCGTGCGTGAATGAGACGCGAATAGAGAGGTCGAGACGGAATTGCGCGACTCGACTCGCATCGTGTGCGAGAAGAGCCAGCTCTGTCATAATGACGATTAATTATTCGATCGAATAATTATTATTAATTATTAATTATCATTAATTATTATCAATTAATTACCGCCGACGAGATCTTTCGTGAGAGAACAGAGAGAACGGGACATTTTTGTTTTTGAACAAAAATATAGCTCAACGTATATGTACCCAGTTGCCATGTATTTTAATTTATTTAGATTCTTAAATAAATTTTATTGAAAGAAAAAAAAAACAACAGAAAAACCACGATAACGACGACGCCGACGACGACGACGACGACGACGACGACGACGACGACGATGATACATCGAATGTTGTGTTGCCCGCTGCTGTATTTACTCCGCCTCTTTTTCTGCTCTGTCTTCTTTCGCTCGTTTCGTTCGCGCCTCTCCGAGAGTGTCCGTGAATAATTCCCTCCCCCTACCGCGCCATACCGCGCGAAGCTATATTTTTCTTCAAAAGCATGACAGGATCTTTGCGAAGATCACGGGGGATCGTTGGAAATTTTCACACGTACGCATCCGCACAGTCTTCGCAGCAGACGGAATCTTTCGCTCTCGTCGATTCTCGTGAATTTCAGACTCATATCAAAACACGCCAGACATATCGTAATTTATATTGATTATGTAAATGTGCGTGCGGATATTTTCCCTTTCCTCGTTTGTCGAGCGCCTTTTGTACTTTAACTTCGTCGTTCTTTCCCGTGAAAACGCAACAACAACCTTATCCTTTCGAATTCCTTATCCGATCGAAACCGCGCGCCGGTGTCACCTTGACAATCGCGCCTGAGACGCACGCATATTGTTAAGCTAGCTTTTCCTTTTCCGCTCAGTCAGCCAATCGGAGATTTCATCTTTGATAACGATCGAGTGCCTGCCTCACAGTTGTGCGAAGTGTCGTAATGAACGTGTCTGCGACGAGAGATGTTTTCTCTCGCACTGCGCGACTTAATCGCGAACCGACACACCATACAGAATGAAGTACCGTCGATACTCCGATGTAAAGTTTGATACAATACCCCGAGCGACACCGTGAGAGAAAAAGAGGAGAGGGAAAGAGAATAAAAGTCAAAGTCTCTCTCGTTCTCCGAAACGCTTGCCGAAACCGATTGGCGAAAGCGGACAGCGAGAATAAATAGCGAGATTATTCCGACGTTGATTTTTCTAAGCTGTAAGCTCGTTCGGATGTCCTCATTAGATCATAGAACTATCACGAGAAGGAAGCCACTTTCGTTATCGATCAGGATCCACAGAAACTGTAGGCAAAATCTGATCGGCAAGAACTCGCGCAACCTCGCTCCAGCTCATAAATTAATAATCATTAATCACGCTCCCGCGTCGTCGCGGGCGACGCTTTGTAAAATTGTACTTGGTGAAGGAAGAGACACGCACGGGAGTGGAAAAGGAACAAAGAGACGAGGAGAAACAGGGAGAGTGTAAGGAAGGAAAGAAGAAAGAGAGAGAGAGAGAGAGAGAGAGAGAGAGAAAGATCAAAGATAATTGTACATTGTGACAAACTGCAGATAGAGAGAGAGAGAGAGAGAGAGAGAGAGAGAGAGAGAGAGAGAGAGAGAGAGAGAGAGAGAGAGAGAGAGAGAGAGAGAGAGAGTGGAAGGGAGGGAGAGAGGGGGGGAGAGAGAGAGAGAGAGAGAGAGAGAGAAAGAGTGCCGCTCACAGACACTAAACTAAAAGAAGAAAAAAAACCATACGATCACGCACTTGTACTCGCGAAGGTAATCATGTAAAATAATAACGACAATAAATAGCTCGTAAGCCAGACTAAGCTAGACACTTGTCGATAGTCGTAGATAGTCAAGGTGAAGAAGCCGAAGAAGGAGGGGCGACGGTCTACAACAGGGGGTCGAAGTTGAAATCGCATCGACCGTGGGATGGGGAGGCCCCTTCACACAGAACTTTGTAAATGGGACGAGATAATTACGCTCTTAATGACAACGACGACGACGATGACGACGACGATGATGACGATGACTATGACGACGACGATGATATTATTTTCGGGTACACGCGCATATCATGGACGGCACTGTGCGGGCGCTCGCACGCGCGCGCGTGCACACTTTTGTTTAGTATAAACGAGTTGGTTGTAAAAGCCCCGCGGTAAGGATCAATTTATAATGATTACTGTTAGGTGATTATATAAATATCGGCGTGAGACACGTGAGAGGGAACTCTATTGCGTCGCGGTCTAATTGCGTAAGGGTTCAGTTTTGTCGGCACAATTGCGAATCGATAATTATCATATCATAAGGTGTAAACTATATTAGGCGTATAGTACTGTATCATATGTAATAAAAAAAAAAACGGGGGAAAGAAACAACGGGAGGATTAACGCGTAAGTGAGTAAGGCTGTAGGCAGTTTGTGTGAACGGGCCTGGAAGACGTCGAGAACCGATCTCTTCGACCCTACATGCGACTAAGAGGAATGCGATTATTAATATTAATGAAGTACGAGATGAATATAAATACATAAACTGGGCGAGAGAGCAAAAGAAAGAAAGAAAGAACGCGCGAGAGAAAGAGTGCAAGTGGGAGAATGCGAGAGAGGGAGAGAAAGAGAGTTGTGTGTGTGTGTGTGTGTGTGTGTGTGTGTGTGTGTGTGTGTGTGTGTGTGTGTGTGTGTGTGTGTGTGCGCATGTGCGTGTGTGTGTGTGTGTGTGCGTGTGTGTGCGCGCGTGTGCGTGTGCGTGGGTGTGCACATGAGACAGCGAACAAGTGTATCGATTGAGAAAGAAAAAAATATGTAATTATATCACTAGTAATACTACCTATCACTAATATAATAAATGTGCCATTTTTTCCATAATCACACGGTGTCGCCTGGCATCTTACGGCGCGATACGTCGCGCGGTAAAGCGCGTTTTTCTTCTCTCTCTCCTTGAACGTAACGTTAACGATAATTCCGATGTGCACGCCGCATTCGCCGTCCTCCCCCCCCGCCCATTTTTTTTTTTCTTTCTCACTCGTTATTTTATTTGTATATTGTACTCTCAGTATTTTAGACGATATCTACATTTATGTTTTACGTTTTGCTCCTACACGATATATTAATACACACGTCTTGGTTTAAGTTGGATTTAATTTCATTATTATACGCAGAATTGCGATTTTAGCCACGTATGCACAGTAATGTAGATACCATCGGAACTTTAACCGAGTACGAGGTCTTGTCACGATCTGTACTTTCTCATTGTTTTTCATTGAATACACACACACACACACACATACACAGAAAACGCCATATCGCTCTACCGACTGCCGCAGCGCATGGTTTATCACTCTGGAATTTTTGCATCTCTCGTACCTTATATCGCATGACGAAAACAAGACGAGAGAGATCATCGTCGCCGCTATATACGCTTTCAAAGAGTCACCCGATCCTTTTTGCCTGTTCCCGAAGAAGCAGAGGAAAGAAGGGAGAGTATAAGGAAAGAGAAGAAAAAGCAGAAGAAGAAAAATGCGAAGCAGAGGAACTTATTAATTTATTAATATTAACTTATTAATTTATAATACATCTGCCGAATCTCGGATGGTGTCCAACGACGGTTCTCGTTATGTTCCCTGATTGTTATCATCATCATCATCATCAAGCGGCACGTAGTACGGACGCGCTGGACGCAGGTATAATGTTATCCGGCGCGGTGAAAGGTATTAATTTGGCTATTTCTCAATTCATATTGCACGCGCGCACTCTTGTATAATGTTATTGCAAAATTATTTGCACAACCGCGGATACCGCGGCGGCTCTCGCGGCGAGTCGCCTAAACATGTCCGGTCGCGATGAAGAAATCCTACTGCAAATTTCACCCGGTGCTTCTTGACCTTTGACCCGCCTCTTATGTTGTACCTGTCTGTTGCACAGGTGTCAAAGAGCAAGAGAGATGGAGAGAAGGGGGGGAGAGAGAGAGAGAGAGAGAGAGAGAGAGGAAGAGCAGCGTACCTTTCGCTGTTTCGCCGTTCTCAACTTCGTTCCTTTTAGGTCTACGGCGAATATGAACGCACAGCTTTTGCGTGTGTGTGTACGTGTGTGTTACATAATCCCGGCCGATCGAGCGAGTTGAAGAGGCAGCGTGTGGACTTTCTGGCGTAAAGAATGACGATTTGTTGTTGGAGATAAGCGAGAATTTCTCACGCAAGTTCTCTTCAGGTGTCGTTCGTTTACCTGTCGTCGATGCATGCGATATCGTAACACGATTAATATACACCCTTAACTCTGGAACAATACGGCGTAGTGAGTACATTATAATTTACTTTGTTAGGCTCCTTCGTTACGTTACAGTATTTGTACAAAAATATCCAATCATATATCGGTTATTATCGCGACCTAATGCCGACCTCACCGACGTCATTTCGTTACTTTTTCTTTCTTACGTTCGTCGCGAGAATCAGCTGGTTTGGCTTGCGTGTTCGCCCCTATTTTACCGTTCCTAATTTTGTCCTTAATGATCCTTTTAGCAACGAAGTTAGACACGAATGTTGCACTCGTTGTATTTCGGGCTTAAAGCAGACGACTCCTCGCGGACTCGCGACGATTTAACACTGAGGACTGTTCACGCGCTATCTGCAGGATGTCCTCAACGATGCACGATACAATAAATCTAAACGGGGATCGCGGAATGACGAGGACACGAGTCGCGTCGTCTGTCATCTAGTTACAATTGTCCCGGATACTTAACCGTTTGAGTCCCAAGCAGCGCGATCGCGCTGTTCAGATTTTATGTCGAGAAAACCCAGTACATTTCGATCATTGTGGACGACTGACGGTGCGTTACCGATTGTCGAAGTCGCGCGCTCAGATTTACTGAAGCAAGTATATCACACCGATCCTTTTAATGTAAACAGTACATTTTATAATAGGTAGAATAATACTATAATAATGCAATAATACATTACAAAATAAAAATTTTTATTTCATTGTTATCTTCTCAATAATTTTTATCGAACAAAACTTGAAATATTTATAAATTTACAGTACGCATATGTAATAATACAGATGTATTTTATAAAATAACGAATTACAAATTAACCATATTTTTGTGTTATGAACAAATAATTTAAACGGAGAGTAACAATTATAATTTGTAACATCGGTGTTTATCAAAACATGTTGGATGGATTCCTTTTGCTTCGTTGCTCCGTTGCCTCGTCTAATCATTTTGAAACACACAATTATTAACAATGAGAAACACTTACGCAAGAATACGTCCGATCGCTTTGCAAACTACAATAAATGTGACAGAGCGATGAGAAAAAGACGAGAATCGCGTTACCTAACAAATACAAGAAGCGGTATTGGTCCGATTGGGATTCATCGATGTAAAATAAACAAAGCGCTATCGCGCTGCTTGGGTCTTTTCATACTCATTTATAGAAAGCGCGGTTGCGCTGTTTGGGATTCTTCGACAGTGTTTTTTCAATACCCCCTGGGACTCAAACGGTTAAGCTTACCGTCCTGCACATGTCTCGCTCAGAAACGTGACACGAAATGTGAAAGTTCGAGCGCGGTGTCACAATACGCTCTCCTCGATGCTCGGCGTCCCCGCGCGTTCTTCCGCATTTCAGCGCGCGCGCGGATTCAGCCACGACGAGAGAGAGAGAGAGAGAGAGAAAGAGAGAGAGAAAGATCGAGTAAGGAAAAACCGATCCGGTCACGACGCTTTTACCTCCAGCCGCGCGCGAAGCCTCCTTCTGTCGCTACGCTCGTTATCGCGACTCTGCCTAGTCTCTATCGATGCTTGATAACCTAAGAACACTCTCGTGACATCCTACATCCTAAGAAAGAAAGAAAGAAACAAGACACTACGGCGAATGAAGCGGCGAAACTATTCTAGTGTCACAGCCATGTTGAAATCGCATGGTTTCACATGCGTAGCCCGATCGCCGACGCGTCCGGCGACCACCTCGAGCGGCGCGCTTCTCCGCGAGGAAAGGACGCGTCGCTTTCGCGGGAACTTCACCGGGTGAGTCGCGTATATTGCGAGTTTGATTTCGACGAATCGGATGCGAATACAACAACAATAATAATAATAATAATAATAATAATGAGCAATAATAATAACAAAAATCTATACCCAACGTGTCACTCAATCAATGTTCAATTTAGCTTCGATAGTCGTCTCTTCAGCAATAAATAAGCGACAATCCAGAACATGACGAAGTAGCCGAACAACACGACGATATTGTGCCAAAACATCGACTTGGTTATGCCGAGCTCCTCCAGTATCATATTCGGAAACCGGTAGTGACAATAAGTGGTCGAGCAATCTATCTTATCGTGCCTGTTGTCGTAGACGGCGTACATAAAGCCCTCAAAGGTGTAGCGAAGCACGCTTAGGTAGCTGATGTAGAACAGGAACCTAGGCATGTGCGTAAAAAAGATAAGGAAGCCGGCGAGGCATAGCATGATGCATACGATGATGGAGCCCAAGAAGGTTCCATTGACCGGGTTGAAAATCGCGCCCAAGCTTAGACCCATGCCCTCGGAGATGAAGCTGTTCAAGATGGCTATCAGCAGATACATGAAGAAGCGGTAGTACTCCAACGGCTGGCTGGTCATAAAGTAGGAGACGACGGAATAGATGGAAGCGTAGGCCATGTGCAACGGCAGTGCGCACACGATTGTCGCGATGTAGTAGGTCCTCAGCTTGTACCAGTTGTTGAAGCGCTCCTTCCGCACAATGTCGATCTCCAAGGGGAACTTGAGCACGGCCGGCATCATGCCGGTGTAGTAAATGTACAGCGCGCTGACCATCAAGTAGCTGATGTTGCTGATTGTCTTGTTGCTGTCATCGCCGGCGTGCTCATAAAGCAGACCCAACAGCACCGCCACGAGGAAGTGCAAGAACAGCTTGATGTACATTATCGAGTAGTCGCGATGCACCAAGATCGCACTGCGCTGCAGCAGTATCCAGAACCGCATGAGCTCCGTAGGCGGGCTCCTCGTCAGCATCATCGCCGAATCGCCGTTGTCGGGTATCTTTTCGATCGTATTGTACGACGACGTGATCGCATGCGCCTCTTTCCGCGGATGGTTCAGCCACGTGACCGTCGCGATCAACTGCTCATGGTAATCACCGTATTCGCCGGATACCACTTCTAGCATGTAGTCCGCCGGGTTGTGGTACTTGGGACACTGGAGACCTTGCCGAGCGAAGTAGCCGATCGTTTCGTCGGGCGACGAGCGATACATGCAGTGGCCATCCACCACCAGGTAGATGTGATCGAAGATCTGATAGATCGCTGCGCTAGGCTGGTGGATGGTGCAGATGATCGTCCTGCCGGATTGCGCCAGGTTCTTCAACATGGTTATGCACTGCACAGACGCCGTCGAGTCGAGACCGGTGGTCGGCTCGTCCAGGAACATGAGCGGCGGATTACCGATCAACTCGAGGGCGATGCTCAGCTTCTTCTTCTGGCCGCCGCTCAGCCGGTCCACTCGCGTCTGCTTGTTCAGCGACAACTTGAGCGTCGCCAAAATCTCGTCGATCAGCATCTGCCTGGACTTCAGTGGAAGTTGCTGGTTGATCTTCAAGTAGCTCGCGATCATCATGATCTCGTAAATGCTGAAGAAGCCGTGCAAGTTGTCCGTCTGCTGGATGTAGCATCGTTGCTTCTTGCAACTGCCCTGCTCCCACTTATTACCGTTGTTGAGGTATTCCACCGTTCCCGTGTAATTGCCTTCTTGGAAGCCGCTCAAGATGTTCAGCAACGTCGATTTGCCGGCACCGGACGGCCCCATGATGGCCGTCAGCTCTGTGGACCGGAAATGTCCTTTCAGTCTTTTCAGGATCTGCTTCTTCTTCTGCCGGCCATATCCGATATTGACCACGTAGGATAGGTCCTTGAATCTGACGTCAATCATCTGACTGTGCGTTATGTTCGTAAGTGTGCGACAACTCTTTGTTTCGTTGGACATTTGCAATTGCTTTCAGACGATTCCAGATAATTTCGTGATCTGTCTGTCTACGATGGCTATCTTTTTATCTCTCTTGACCTGCGCACATCTATTACAATTATATGTTTCCTTGCGTGACGCGAGAGTAGACGCTACGACAGCTACGGTCGTGTACGTACTCGTACGTGTAAGTACGGCAAATTCTTTATATCTAATATGCGCAGAGAGAGAGAGAGAGAGAGAGAGAGAGAGAGGGAGAATCAATTTCGCGACACGATAGCGTCAGCTGTTTCGCAATTGCAAATATACACACAAGCTTATTCGCGTGAATGTAAAATTGACGTCGGTTTTTTTGCTCGGTATTTCCTCGGAAGAGAACGTCCGATGATAATTCTTGCGAATGTTCTTCTTATCGTTACGCTTTTTATTACGACGTTAAGTTAGTAGATTAACTACAAACTTAATTGCTCACGAATTACGCATATCTGGAATAATCTATGTGGTTCACGATAAGCGTCTAGTGATAATTAATTAATGATACACGTGGCAAATACGTCGGCAAATCGTCGCAAATGCGATAAATAATTGACGTGTAAAACTGATGTTCTTTTGTCTGTGATCATTTGTAGTCACGCGTCGCACGTGCTCTTTGGCTATTCGCAGGTCAATCCTCTTAATGTCTCTTTCGTCCCTTCTTTCCTCCTTCCCTGGTCGCGGATCAAATTAGAGCAAATCTAGCGTGCGCAAGTTTAACTCAAGTCTCTTCGGAGCCTCTCCTAACAGCGATGATCTCATCGCTTATTTCAAATATCCAGCTCTCTTATTTTTATTGCAATCTTCTTTCACTTCTCATCCACCTGTAATAAGATCATCATATTGTTAAAAGTTGTATATTTTTATATACGGACGTGTGATATAATATTGATTATTAAGAAAGAAAAATGAAGATGAAAAACAAGGGATACTATTGCTCGACGATAATTATTGCTCGAGTATATTTTGACAATTTTAATTAATCTTGCAAATTTATTGTTGTATATTTACAAGATTAGCATACTCATGTAATTTATGCGAATACCGCGGGCATAAATGTTCAGCGTTAAGCGCGTTCATTAAGGAGCTCTAAAATATTACGAGGAGCAGATAAAATCCGCTTCTCCTCGTAGGGAGATTCCTCGTAAAAAAATAACTGGAGACTTGAAAATATATAATAAATAAAGCAGATTTATAAAGCACATGACGAAGAACACTTGCGACGAACTCGCGAGTAAGCGAGTACCAAGATTTGCGATGCCACCACGGGTATTGCTATTCCTTTCAGGAGAAACTCATTTACTTGATTATAAAGCTGAAATAGCTCGTATCGCTAGAAGCGTCAAGTTAATTTTCCTTCAAAATTTCTTTTTTTTTTAATAACTGACATTACGTCTGGTGATCGGGTTGGTGAACAATTCATCAACAAACATTAAGAGTGTTTTCCAATGTCGAATTCATTTTTTTCGCTGGAGTACGTAGAGCTGTGCAAGACCGGTGGGCTCGCTCTTTACATCTCTTTGCTCTTTCCTCTTTTTCGATTTAAATATTCGACCTTGGAAAAAATCTTTAGACCACATCGTCGCAAACCGGTCTTGGATGAATCAATCATCTTCGTCGAGGACTTATTATTCTTCGCGAGCGTACTATGTCTTTACTTTTTCCTATGTCGACTGGAAGTTAAAGTAATAATAGTCGGGATTAAACACTCAATCAAATGGTGCTAAGGCTGTAGCGATTATTAGTAAAAGTTGTTAGTAAGAGACAAATGAAATATAAATGTGTCTAAAAATACATAAGCAGCTGACGCACTAATTGTCATGCGAATAAAAAATCAGTCGCGACAATCATTTATTCTTAATTTTAGTGATTAATGGCAGTGACTTAAAGAGGTCATTTTCATTAGAATTCATTAGAATCATTATCATTAGAAATACCTTCATCAAATCACTAGAAATAATTCGTTAGAAATGTATATACGTAAATCATTAGAATTGACGTAATTATGTATAAATTTCAATAATCGATCTAATCGATCTAAAGAGAAAAAGAGGGTAAAGAAAGAGAGGGAGAGAGTGGCGGGGCGAGAGAGCAGCAATGGAAGCAACGGAGAACGGCAACAGTAACTTCTTCTCCGTATTAATTTTTTTGATCGGTCTAATATAAAGAGAAAAAAGCAGAGAAAGAGAGAGAGAAAGAGAGAGAGAGAGAGAGAGAGAGAGAGAGAGGAGAGGGAGAAGAAGAGAAATGAAAAAAATGTCGTTGTCATCTAGATTGGGCCTGTAGCCTAATCTATAGATTCTCACGTGTCAGTTTAGGCTGCGGCAAACAGAAATCCGTCAATCTTCCACTAAATTATATTGTCCAATGCTCTTGTCTTGGAACATTCACAGGATCTGTCAGATCTTAATTTCTATTTTAAGAAGAATTTGACGTCAAAGTTTATTTATACAGATATGAGAACTTTGTCTTATACTGACATATATTATATCTTATCGCGAATTTTGTAACTTGCAGCTGCAATAATCTTTACTTTTTATAAAAACAAGTTATATGTCGACGAACATGATCATTCTTATATATCTTATATTTCAGAACAAACGTATGTGTTCAAAGTTGCAGCATATTTGCAATATATTTGGTGAATCTGACCTGCCTGACTAGAGCGAGCATGCAAATTTGACAAACACGAGTGTTTATACGCAAATTGTAGATTAGGTAATTCTGAACAAAAAAGTCCTTTATCATTTTGCAAATAAACATACAAATTTTCAAGTTATCAATTGAAAAAGCTTTTAGATGTGGTCATTTTCAATCATTAATAACTTAATAACTATTGCGATTTTTGCAAAATTGTCTAGATGAGTCAGCGATTCTTGATTTCGGTGAAACGTATCCTGTAAAGTCTACGATAACATGCAATAAAAGTGACATCCATGAGACGTGCCATTGCAAAAACAGCAGCTTGAATCGTGAGGTAAAATCGTATGCAGTCTGCGCGCGACTGAACGTGTTCGTCGAAGCGATTTTTATCGCTTGACGTGCTTTTACCACGTAATAAGGATCTGCGATCGACCGGTTGCTATATATTTTTCGCAAAAACAAGTGAGACATAATATCGTAGATAAGCATTATATTTGAATAAAATGGTTCAACCTGTTTTCTTGACTACTTTACTTAGCATATTGATCACATTGATATTCGAAAAGAAGAATACATTAGAATTACTTAGTGCAATTGACTGGTCGTTTTACTTTGTATCATGTGAGATAGGAAAGCCGATAGAATTGTATTAACATATATGTCGTATCAGGTTATTAGGATTTCCTAATCATATGTAACGTTGAGAAAGAAAGGAGGAGGGAGAGAGAGGGAGAGAGGGGGGGGGGGAGAAAGAGATAAATTTATTACTTATTTATTATATAGATTGTCCAGGATCTTTTGGAAACGAAAAATTATGAAGATTAATCAGAACAAATTGAGAAGAAAAGTCAAGTACCGTTTTGCAAAAATCGCAATAGTTATTAAGTTATTAATGATTGAAAATGACCACATCTAAAAGCTTTTTCAATTGATAACTTGAAAATTTGTGTGTTTATTTGCAAAATGATAAAGGACTTTTTTGTTCAGAATTACCTAATCTACAATTATATGATGACTATTGTGTTTAGCGACAAGTTCAAGATTCAGAGTTCAAAGTTCAATATACACAGTCTGTCCCAGATACGATGAGACTGGTTCCATCAAAGTTCTTAGCGCAGCGATATCTATGAGTGAATGATGGTAGGTGAATGTTCTACCCTTCATCTACTTAACCTCAAAATTTGAGCGAATTCGGTTGATACTTCACTGTGGTTTGACATTTTATGTAAAGTCACTTTGTGTACGTCGGTCGAAAAACCAACTTTTAAATTGGGTAAAAGTGGTGCAGAAACGTACGAAACGCTAAAAAATGTGTACGGGGATGAATGCATGTCCCGTGCACAGGTTTTCCGTTGGTTTGGCCGATTCCGTGACGGTCGTGAGGACCTTGCAGACGATGACCGAGCACCGCCGCCAAAAACCACTCGCAATGAAGAAAACATCGAGAAAGTCAAAGAAATTCTTCGAAGCGACCGCTGTGTGTCTGCCCAGATATTATCCGGGAGTTCTACAACGATTGTGGGCCAGAATTCGACGAGTTCGACCGGAATATCGAGAGCCAGGCAGTTGGTTTTTGTTGCACGATAATGCACCATCGCACAAAGCCATCATGGTACGTGAATTCTTGACCAAAAAATGCATCATTGTTATCGATCATCCACCGTATTCACCTGATTTGGCTCCGTGCGACTTCTGGCTATTTCCCAAACTGAAATTGCCGATGAAAGGAAATCGTTTCGATACCATCCCGGTCATCCGAAAGACTTCGACCGCCATACTAAAGGCTATTCCAGCCGATGAGTATAAAAAATGTTTCGAAAAATTTGTTGAACGTTTCCAGCGCTGTATTGACTCAGAAGGAGACTATTTTGAATAAACAAGAATAAAAAATCAAAATAATAAACGCTTTGTATTTTTTTTAGATCAGTCTCATTGGATCTGCGACAGACTGTATACTCATATCTATTGCTAGACATAATGGCTGTCATATAATTGTCGATAAAGTTAACTGGTATCCAATAAGGTATCAAATTTAATCGATTTTTTCATCTTTATGTCAGTGAATTTCATTAAAGTAGACAAGTCTTTTGACTTGAGTGCAGATCATTTGCTTATCTATTAACACTTTGCGAAAATATAATTATAAAGCAAAGTAATCCAGCATTAACAAGTAAAATGGTATATCGGGTTTCATTTGAATTTGAAAAATTTAAACAGTAGAATCTACTTAAATGTAACTCGTAAAATTGAGGATCAATTAGACATTGGAGTGGAAAAATTTTTAGTAGATATGAAACAATTTATCTAGAATAACACACCAAAAGTTAAAAACAAAATCACAGAAGATAAATAAAAGTGAGCGAGTGAGTATTAGATGTGACCATATACAGAAAAATTAGGCTAGAAACATATTACTGGTTAGTCCATAAGACTACAGTTATACAGATAGTATCAAATTATACAAATTTTCTCTTATTTCAGCTTCAAAATAGCGCGTATACGACAATGCATCTTTGGCTTAATAGTACATTGTGATCTCGTTAGTTGCTATGTCATTATAAAAAATTACGGTTGTCACGTTCTCGGACTGACATAATTGCGCATTGCACACAAAGGATACTGTAGCAAATAATAACCTTCGCCGACTAAGATAAAATTCTTTACACAACGATATTTATCTACACATTAATCTGGCTTACATATATGTGTATATATATATATATATATATATATATATATATATATAATATATATATATATATATATAATTGCACATTGATAATGTCATGGGCAAGAAGTTTGTTCTGCAATATTTATAGATGTGGTTTTTGATAAAGTGTGACATGTAAGACTGATTCATAAGATGGGAATGTACCTACCGACCTATAAAAAGTTTTCAACTTCGGTCGTCCAAAGTTGAAAATTCTCGAAATTTATACTTGGATTACGATTGTTCCCGCGCGCACATGAACTGCAGTTCCACGAATTTTTCGGTTCACCACTTTGCCGCGACGTTGCACTATGATTCATATAAATTCGATTTACCTGTGTCGAGCGACGATCATTGCAGACACTTTATAACCATTTAATAACCATTTCGTGGCCGCCGTGGGAAACAATCTTGGAATTCCGATATCCTGTATCTCGATTTTCCCGATATTTCCTTGTATCGATATGTTCCTTATTGTTGATTGATTGAGAAGCTCCTTGGTCACGATCGCGAGGAGTCCGATGAAATTGCGCTCTGTGAATAGGACAGACGTTGACTGGTCGCCGCTGGTTAGTCAGACCTGAGATCGCTACTCCGACGGAGAACGGAGGTTGAGAGCAGACTGGACGTCACGCAAACGGCGAATCAAGCGTTATCGCCCGCTCGTCAGCAGAACGATACCGCGAGAAATGCTCGGAATATATTGCGAGCGAGCGACACCTTTACCTCCGTGACCTCCGTGAGTCGCAGGCGAATCGAATCCATAATAAGGACTTGTCGAAGCGTATGTTGATTCGTTCGTTGCATAGCCCTCGTCGATTTCTGACACGCCAGATTCCTGATAAAACCTTTGCTCTTTAGTCAGCCACTAGTCTCTCTCTCTCTCTCTCTCTCTCTCTCTCTCTCTCTCTCTCGCAGCACGTCGTCTCGGGAAACCTGTTTCCTGTTTCTTCAAGCGCTTACACTCGCTGATCTTATTTGAGCTTGCTCGCTACGCAGGAGAAAACCCCCTGCACTTTCGTTGTTTTTCAACTCCGGCGAATAAAGACGTATGTGGGTGATATGCCGCGGGCGATACATGCCTAACTGTTAAAACATGTTCTAGAAGAAGCAAGAGAGGAAGAGAGATAGATAAGTTGAAGAGAGAGAGAAAGAGGGTGGGAGGGGGGGGGGGAAGAAAGAACAGTGGAGACGGTTTGTTGTTACCTGAAATATGCCTGATACTTTCTTACGACCTTCATTTTTCGACAGACCATTTGGTGATCTAATTTGTAAAGTAAAGTGTTACTATTTTTATAACATTCGTTGCTAATGTCAGTTGAAGCTAACGTTAACTAATCGCCGTGAAGCTAATCACCAAAACGTGATGTCTGTATCTTGAACAATTGTGCTTCGCCTTAATCTTTATTGATCTTTACTCATCTACTTTTACGCGTACTCATCTTTAACAAGAAGAAAAAATTTTAACAAGAGAATTTGCTCATCAAAGAAGCACAAATCATTAATTATTCACGAGATACCGGATTATACGGTGCTAGATACCAACCGATACCGATAAACCACTAATGCCCATTTCTACCAAACTTGGTTAACTTAACCAGTTGGTTATTTCAACGGAATTGACCAGTCACATTTGTCGTTAATTAGAATTGTTAAATGCGAATACGTGTTTCAACGGATGCGTTCACGACACTCAACAATTGCGCAACTGTTGAGTAATTCGTCAACGTTATTGATCTAAATATAAGGATCTAACAGTAAGGACCAATAGTCACTAATCGCTCACTGAGCGGTTTTCTCCGCTGAACGTACTGAACGATTGTTGTAACTTTTATTATTCCGCTCGTAGAATGACCGCAGCACCTCGGAATATATTCAAGTGAAGTGTCGGAATTCTTCACGTGAAACGATCTCGATAACACGCTACTCGGTCTGGTTTTCCTTTAATATTTGCGCATATAGGACGGTGAGAGGAATTTTGTTTTTATCGCACACGGGATATTTCAATGTAAAACAGCTGATCAACCTTGCAGATTGAAAATTTTCATGCGTTAAGATCATATGGTAACCTTCGTATTGTTTGGCAATGGACGAAATTGATTTTATACTAATTTGCGGAAAAATGCTCCGTCGATGGCTCAAGTACAGATAACACATAATCTGCTAACAGGTTTTAAATTATTCAGTTTAAAGATACACATCCGCAAGGCCGCGTTTAAAATGTTAAAGTTTTAATACAAATTAATTCTCGGCTCCTACCTCTCATCGATTACAGAACCTCTTCAAATTGGAATTTTTTTCTCGCTATGTAGTCATTTTGAAGTGCCATCTTTTAGCTTTAAGGGGGGAACCTGGTTTATAGGGTCAAGATTTTCGAATTTTTTTTTTTTGCTTAATCGACAGTTAAACTATTCAAGAATATATTCCCAAAGTTTCAGAGCCCAATTCAAAGTATTTTAAAAGTTATAGAATACATGGTGAGTCAGCGTCGCGCAAGTATACGAGCGCTCACCCGATATAGATACGTGCTTTATGCCGGATATTTGATTACACATTCCTATAGATTGTCATGTAGGTGTATGAGTGTATGCGTGTCTATGTGTGTGTACGTTTGTATAGTTTATAGTTTCAACGATTAGTCTTGCTCTGATGTTTCTCGACGAGTAAAGAGTTTCTATTTAGCAAAAGTCGTTTGGCAGTTTTAAATATGTATCCAAAAGGCTCAAGAAGTACTTCGCAGCGCACTTCGAAACCGCCGAAAAGAAGATTTCGTGGCAACCAGCATTCCAAGAATGAAAGTGATAATTTAGACGAGAGCATCAGTGCGAAAAAATTAAATAGCGAGTACTGATAATATTATTGTGAATCCATTACATTATTATAGAATCATAGAAAAAAAAAAACTTATAAGTCCATTTTGACTTTGACTTCGCCGTATGGCGAAGATTGCCCCGTAAAAAAAGTGAGTGCGTCGGACACGTTCAGAAGCGGATGAGGACGCGGCTTCGAAATATAAAAAAAAAGGAGAAGCTTGGCGGCAAGGGAAGATTGACCGATCTTGTCATAAAAAAATTAACCACTTACTACGGTTTAGCCATAAGACGAAATGTAGATTCTGGGTGGGTGATATGAAAAAAAGCATAATGGCAACACTCTAGCACTATTGCTCGACCGATGAAAAGCCGAAACATGAAAATTGCCCCGCAGGCGCCGACAGTTGGTGCGAGTGGCGCAAAGCTGAAGCCGCCGGTCAACTCGTAAACATCCTGCTCCAGTTATAAAGCCTGATATTGAGAAACACCTTGCTTCGATCTATGAAGATCTTTCCAATGAAGATCTTTTGACTAGATGTTTAGGCGGGCACACACAAAATTCCAACGAATCCTTCAATTCGACCATGTGGCGTATCGCTCCCAAACACCTCAATTCGGGCTCTAAAATTGTTCGAATCGCTGCATATTTGGCTACTGGCATCTTTAATGAAGACTACACTGCCATTTTATTAACAATGCAGTTATTAAAAATCAATATCGGCCAGCAATGCAAAATGTTCGCTGATAATTACGATGCGCAGCGAGTTACGAGAGGGGAGCGGCGCCGAAGCAGCACGACCAAGGAAGCTCGCACAGCTCGTAGCTGGAGCAAATGCAACGAAACGAGTTTTGTGAAGAAGCTGAAGGCTTGCAGTATAGCCCTGGTATAGCTGATTAGCATAAGATTGCGGTAAGTCTCCAATAAATGATATTTGTTTGTACCACAAACTTTAAACGCGTTTTTCTCGAAATATAATTTTCGTACTTTCTTAACATCTGCGGGAAAGATAGAGAAAAAACTAATTGATCGATCGACTGGATTCAAAGTGCGTTAGCTAGAGAATGAACAACCATTCTATGTGAACCTCAAACATTGGTAAAAATATTAATTTAAATAATTGTTATTGCATAAAAACGGAGGAAATTTTTTCTCAAAAATGTCATTTTTTTGTTCAAGTGCTAAAAAGTTTTGTATTTTACGGTTTTTTAACCGTGTTGTTGGTTCACATAGAATAAAAATATGTGAAAAGTAATAATCTTTTTGGTTTTTTTGCTTCAGATCAAAATTGCAGGTTACATTTTTCCCGCAGATTGGCAACTCGGTTGGCGAGGCGCTCTGGTTAGAGATACACCATGGCGCCATTTTGCAATTATTTTACAATATAAAATTTTTCTTACATCTTCAAATAGGCAGTTAAATATTATAAAAGTTTTAGGAACCTCAACTGCATCATTATCAATAAAAAGAATTAATAAAAATCTCCTTTTTTTAGCCTCTTAAACCAGGTTCCCCCCTTAAGACGAGGTATAATACTTAATCCTACTGTGAACGTAACCTGAAAAATCAGTAGACGCGATGTCATTCGAAAAGCAACATTTGAGGCGCTGCCTTCTTTTCGCATTTCAACTTAAAAAAACGCGGCGAAAGAAATGATTTGTTTAGCTTGGGATGAAAATACTATATCGTAAAGCATGTGTAAAAAATGGTTCCAACAGTTTCGAGAGGGAAATTTCAACCTTCAAGGTAGTGAACGCCCTGGTCAACCAAAAAGAGTGGAAGACGAGAAGTTGCAGCAAATTTTGGACAAGAATCCTTGCCAAACTCAACTGGAAGTTGCAAATGCACTTGGAGTGACGCAGCAAGTCATTTCCTATCGCCTACAGAAGCTGAGGGGAATTCGCAAGGAATCCCGATGGGTCCCTCATGAGCTCACTCCCGAAAACAAAAGCAGACGCCACGATACTGCTCTCTCCTTGCTCTCCAGGTTCAAGAAAAATAATTTTTTGCACAAAATTGCTAATCATGTTAAAAAGTGGATATTATACGAGAGTTCACCTAAGAGATGAAAATCATAAATCCGTCCAGATGAGCCATCAACGAGCACCGCAAAACCAAACATCCATGCAAAAAAGGTGTTGTTATGCATTTAGTGGGATCAGAAGAGCGTGATCCATTATATGAGATGTTTCAACCTTGTCAGACCGTCATTTCTGAGCTCTATCAACAACAAATGATCCGCGTGAATGATCCGCGTGTATGAAGAAAAAAGACCGTTTACCGGCAGTGGGAGAAAGACGGTGATACTGCTGTAGGCATAATATCCGGCCCTACATAGCAAAAAACCATTTCAGATTTAGGCTGGGAAGTTCTCCCTCATGCGGCGTATTCTCCATACTTGGCCCCTTCGGATTATCACCTACTTCGATCGTTACAGCATCACCTAACTGATTCTCAATTCAAGTCAGTTGAACAGGTCGAAAAAGCCTCGATGAATTCACTGAATTAAAACCACCATCATCTTTCCGATTTGGAATCCGGCAATTGCCTGAGAGATGACAAAAATCTATAGAAACCGAAGGAGATTACTTTGAAGATTGAGTTTGCATTTATATTTTTATAAATAAATGTTAAAGTTGGTCAAAAAAGGCCGAGAATTAATTTATACACCTAATACTTTTCATATACCTGATGATAAATTGATGGTAACAAACAGTTTGTCGATTATTGGAGCTGAAGGAAATTGCTCGCGTTATTTTACGAATTTCAATCGATCAATTCAATTTTACGAAGTTCAATCGATCATTAATTGTCATATTACGGACGTTTTGCAAGCGGTTTGAACACGTATACGTTTTCGCTTCTGATGTCA